TAAATATCATTTATTATTACTTTTGTTATTATTTCTATTATTAGCAGTGATTTTAACATCTTGATTAATATGATTCAGAAAGGCAAAGAGAAAAATAAAGAAAAAGGAAGGTCACAGAGAAAAGAAATGCGTATGGTGTGGATGGGTAGCTGTAGTATTCCAAAAACAATAATTATGCACTTTCTTATTTAGTAAAAGGAAACACTCCAGAAAAAATTTTTAATATATACATATGTACAAAAGAAAATTAAAATAAATTGACATCTCTATTTTAAACCACTACAGATGCACTCAGGTGATCAATGTTTATGTTTACAAACAATGTTTCCGAAAATGAGAGAAATCAAACACAATTTGAGAAAGACCATTTAGTGAAAAAAATTTAGTTCTCTCCGTGCACTGGAAGAGTTAATATCAATGTTAACACATAAAAAAAATTATTTGAGACACATTTTTGAGAACTGAAACTAAAGGCTGAATGTTAGACAGGATACAATTACATTGGTTGTAAATTTAAAATGACCAACCAATGTAATTGTACCCTGCCTAACATTCAGCCTTTAGTTTCAGTTCTCAAAAATGTGTCTCAAATAATTTTTTTTATGTGTTAACATTGATATTAACTCTTCCAGTGCACGGAGAGAACTAAATTTTTTTCACTAAATGGTCTGATTTCTCTCATTTTCGGAAACATTGTTTGTAAACATAAACATTGATCACCTGAGTGCATCTGTAGTGGTTTAAAATAGAAATGTCAATTTATTTTAATTTTCTTTTGTACATATGTATATATTAAAAAATTTTTCTGATAAAAACTGTATCATTAATTTTAAGATTATGGAATTAGATTTAATTTGGGACTTTGTGTTTATGAAAGTCTAGAAATGCAGCTCTTGAGAAGATTGAAATTTATTTTCTTTATTATATATTATCTTCAATGAGCCAGTATGATCTGTTTCCTAGATAGTGTGTACTCTGTATAAGTAAACAACGATAAGGAGATTATGTTAATTTGCTAATGGTAGTTTTTAGTTTTAGTTCTTCTTTTTCTAGTTTTCCATCATGCCAATTTATTCAATAAAAAAAGTTGTGAAAATTTAGTCAATCGAATATGAGATTTAAATAATTCTGATACTAAATTGCAATTCATAATTAGGAAAAAAGAGATACGCAAATGCTTCAGCAGAAACATTACCCTTTTGTTTATGACATACTTAAATGCATATATATTGCCAGCTACAAAATTTGACTGCTTAATAATTTGACAGCTATAAAATACACTGTTTAATAATATAACAAAAAGAGCCTAAAAATAATTTCACATACTTACCTATCTTATGCAGCATGTTTGCAAGTTCTTAAACCAAAAAGACATTTAAAAAATTGCATCATTTAATAAAACTTTTCAATATATGATTACAGAATTATACATATAAATAAATTAATTTTATAGCTCTTATAAAACATAAAGCATTACAAAAATTGCTTTCTAAAATTTTCATGTAACCACATTCTGATTCACAAGTAACTACTTTTTTTTAAAAAATTGCACTTTTAAAAAAAAGTATTTTTCAAGATATTATTTGACATGCTTTAAACATAATTCAATGTTTTTTAAAATATCCAAATTGAGTATTTTTCAGCTGTAGCATGGCAATATCATATCTGTCACGTCACATAATTATTAAGTAGAAATCATATGCAGTGCTTTGTATTAATACAATTCTTTCATTCGTAACAGCAGATAATAATTAAATTTTAGAAACAATAAAATTACAGAAGATTGTTAAAAATTAATGCACATCAAATATCTCATACTCACATAAAATTCTTTTATAAAAAACACATGGCTATAAAACATGAATATTTATTATGGCATTCTCAGAAAGAAACAATTTTATCATTTTCGTGACAGGAAATAATAAACTCTATGTTTTTGTAGCCAGCATTCGTAGAGCACTTGAATCCTTTGTAAAGCCTTCGCAAATGTCTTTGTAAAGGAAAAGGATCATTTTATAGGATTTTGTAAGAAACCAGCTCATATTAACATTATAACTTGGGGGGGGGGGAAACCCACAACACTCCCATGCAGCTAGCCTATTCACTAGGAAGCTTATAATCTAAACTGATGTACAGCATTTGATCATCTCAAAATGAGGGCTGGAATCTATTGTTAATGCAGAACTTAAAAGTAATAGTTACTGAAACATGCTTTTAATTTACGCTTTCCTGCAGTTTATATTATTCTTATTTGTTTGTGAGTATTCATAATAGCAAGAGGACTAAACATTACAGCTACCAATCTTGAAATATGTAAAACCAACAGGTTCTGCTGTAAAAACTGGGAGTTTCTGAAAACTTTTCACACTCTGCAGCAATGCAATTTCAAAAGAATTCTAAACTGATTTAAATTCACTGTATAATGTATGACTCAGGTTACTGAACTATTTATGTGATACTGGTGTTAAATTTATTAATATTTAATTAGATATTAAGTTTGAGTAATTTTATTTTGTAATTTCCAAACACTTTTATATTGGCAAAAACTGAGTAGGGATTATTTTATTTATTAATGCAAAGCACACAAAGATTACTGCCTATGGGGAAGGACAGATAAGAGGACGTTCTAAGGGAAATTTGCTCGATCGGCTGAATCTTCACAGACTCTTCCACAAATGTCAAAAATAGATTCAGACAAATATTGCATTTTCAAACTTTCGGACTATCCTTAAGCACAGTGACATGCAAGCTATCAAATCAGCTATCAAAAAGCTTGTTTACAAGCTATCAAATCATTATTAGTTAGCCAGTTTCATAATTATCTTAGATATTACAATTTTTATAGCATTATTTTAAGTAATACTGCAAACTGTGATTCACTTTAGATAGTTGTTCATTTAGTTATTTATCAGTCATTTACTTTTGAGAAACTAATAACGGGCTTTGACACTTGTGTAGCTTAAACTATGCCATTAAGCTTAACAAAATTTCATTTAGAAGATGCCATTGATAAACAAAATAATGACATTATGATAAACAAAATTCCATTTAGAAGTACAGTATAAATTGCATTCAGCACAAAAATAAAATTTATGAATTATTGAAGATCCTGTTACATAAAGAAAACGATTTAATGAAATATCACACAAAAAGAATTACCTCTATTACATTTTATAAATAAATCTTTTTCTGAAAAATTTAACATTTTATACAGTTTCAAAAACCACAATTTTATCACATAGCATGTTGGGAACAATGCTAGAGTTTGAAGAAATCACACTAGTTCTCAAAGGCACACTAGTTCTCAACAAAATAAATTTTACTTCTACTATTAAAAAAAAATCTGATGTGTACACCACATGACTTCCTTGTACGGAATATTAAATTATACGCATTTTTTCTTGCATTTTATTTAAAGTTATTAGATTGAATTAAACCTACTTCCCCAACAGGGCATAAACCACAATAGAATAAATGCATTCTTTAAAATTCACTTTGTTTACCATAGCGACATCCTGGCACTAGGTTCACTTAACAGTACTATATTTCACTCATATTACAACTCAGAATGCACAAAATGTATATCATTTAAAGAATTATCTAATCGTTGCCATATGCTCTATTCAAATACTAAATAAAGCTAGAACTATGTATAAAATAAATTAAGCAAACAAAACAAAAAAGAAACAGTTTTTCACAGACGAGTGAGTATTTCTCATTTAATTAATTCAGTTCTCACTTCACAAGAAGGCAAAAATACATAAAAACTCAAAATATCTATATGAAAAATTATGAAGTAAATCTCAAACGCTCATTTCCTCGAAAAAAATTCCAGAAAGAGTTAAGCATGATTTAATTGGCAATAATAAATGAATGCGTTATCTTTGTTGTTGCGAAGATTGGTTTCTCCAGATTGCCAGCAAATCCACTACTTTTGCTAATGTTTCAAATGTAAACATCAATGACCGGCCGCTATGATAAAAACAAATTAGGCTTAGCGGCAATTCAACAACTTTTAAAATTGCTTGATAATTCTTAAAAATATTGCACACAGAGATTTACTAAAGGCATAAAAAACCTCTTTAACCGGAAAGATAAAAACAACATAATTCAATCATTTTTAAGGCAAAAAATGTACAATTTACAAACATATAAGTGTAAAGAAACTGAGATCACTGAGCCGGGTAATAGAGTGGATATATATATAAATATATTTATATACGTTTGTTGAGGCCGATTGCAACCAAACTACGAGGTGCACATCTACATGTTATAGCAGTCCTATATACAAAATTTCAATGTTCTGAGGCTACTCATTTTTTACTTATGCGAGATACGCACGTACGTACATACGTTCATACAGACGCCACGAAAAATTCTCTTCAGAATTAATTTTAAAGCAGTTTTATAATTTTTTTTTTGGAGGAAAAGAGTATTTTATTCTGTCCTTATGACAGATATCACGCAAAAACATCGTTAAATTGCATTCGATAGCGGTCAAAATGGATATTTTCATTGAAATATGCTGCCTGAAACTTTTCGCGATTACAATACTTCCTTTTTACTTCGTACAAGGAAGTAAAAAGAAAATCTGAAAAGCTTTCAGATTTTATATTACACCCAAAAGGACTTTTTTTAATGTTTTGTGTGTTACCTTTATTTATTAAATATCATGGCCTTCATATTTAAACAACATAAAATTCAATTCAACAGCAATATCACAAAATATTTTAAAACAGCAAAACGGCAGAGCTTTGGAATTTTTAATACACAGTCTTGTGCATTGGCTATATAAGTGTTTTTTTCTGTACAGCGAGTACATTGCTCACTTTGAAATTGTTGAGTTTGTTAATCAAAAATTGGTTTAAAATTTTACAAAATTTGAAATAAGTAATAAAACATTTGAAACTGAAAATTCGGGCTTCCAAGTGCTCATGTTTGGTTGAAGGACTACGTTATTCAAAATTTGATGGGTCTAAGTACTGTTGTTTTTTCACAGTGCGAGAAACATTCATGAATATTCTTCATAATTTAGTTTTTTAATATTTAGTGGCAACAGTTTGAAAAGTAAACCAATGCAGAAAATGAAATGACACAAAATGCTATTTTGAGACTAATAGCCCTTCAGATCTAACACACCTTTAGCCTAATAACTGAAATGAATTTCCTAATTATGAATCAAACTCATTTTTGACAAATGAGACCATCAATTTTTAATAATTGTTGCACTAATCCCAAAACATGAAATATGAGCTCTTCTTTAATAACAACTGGTTCCAAAGGATTTAAAACCTTAGACTTAAATCTCTCATAGAATGTACAATAGCTTTCACTGATATCATCATTGCAAGTACATGAAATATTTAATGTTATACTAATAACGTTTAATAATGCATAATTCATAATTTCAAGGAAATTTTTAAAGGGCAATTTTTCACTTCTTAATAATTTTGCAAGAGTCATTTTAAGTGAAATTTCCCAAAATCCAAATGGATATGACATACCAATCGGACAGTATTGAGAAGTTGATTCATTGTCATGTAAATACTCAGAATTTAATCTTCCATCATTCTTACAAGAATTTTCATTTAATACAGAACATGCAGTGCAAAGATATTCTACAATATTATGATCAACTTTTAATAAATTTGAACAAATTTTATTTTCTAAGTGAAATTCATTATTTACAAATACAGATCTTTTTTTCCTACAACAATAATTAACCTTCTCAGGAAATAACCACAAATGGACAATTTTTAAGCAATTATAACATTCAGAATAATACTCTTTCCATACAGCATCAAATGGTGCACAAAGCATAATATGATTAAGATTAAACCATTTTAATGATGATGAAAACTCCAAGAGCATGCATGGTTGTTTTACGCTATGTACAGTTCTAAGACTCTTAAGATGGCCGATGTTCCTTGGTTCCAGAGTCTCATTTAAGAACTTCAAAGGAGAGATACCGGTGTAAAACAAAATTATCTCAATATCTTCTTTCACTATGCTGTCAAGCACAACTATATTGTTTTTCAAAAACAATGATTTTAAATATGCATTAACAGTACATGGCGTAAAAATTACAGCAATGTTTTGTATTTTTACAAAATTTAGCATTTCCTCATAATTCAAATATAAAGTACTTAATTTTAAAGGAAGCGATTCACATTCAGCTTCCCAAGTTGCTTCATTTGGAGATACTTGTTGTATTAAGTCATATACAATAATAAAATTAGCATTGCCCATATCAAGAAATCTTAATTTCTGATTCAATATGAACCCATTTAAAATGTGTGATGCTGATAGTGGTAATGATGCTTTAAAACATAATGCATCAAAATTTATTATTAAATATTCTAAAACTTTTTTTGACAAATGCCAGTCACCAACACATTTCAAGATAAATTCAGAAATTAAACTGCATAGTGCTTTAGCAACAGAAGGAGAAAATTTAGACTGCAAAAACGTAAGCACAATTCCTTTCAAATCACAGGTAAATTTTTTAAAATCTAAATGAGGAGCAGAACTAACAGCAGATGATATATACATATTTGAAAAAATGCATGGTAAATAAGACATCAGATCACTAATTTCTAGTGATATTATTTTCCTCAAATAGTTATCATCATTAACATTTACAATGCTTTCAAAATTACACATAATTTCTTTCAAGAGCAATATAAAAATCTTACTATCTTCGCCAGTTTTTTCATGATACTTATTTACAGCATTAACAATAACTTTTAATAAAGGATCAGAAAAGCAAGATTCAGATAAAACTTTCCAACTAGATTTTGTAAACATACAATGACCAGTTGATGAAATTGTTAAAGCCAGAGAATTTTTATCTATAACTTTTTCGATAATATTTGCTAGAAAGCAACAAGCATCACAAACTTCCTTAAGGGATATGGATTGAACTTCCTCCAGTTTTTAAAGCCATTACTGCAAAAAAATATATAACAAAACATCAATGAGAATGCACAAATGTGCAACACATTAAAATTTAATAATGAAATTCACATTTCTGAAATTATTTTAGCAGAAAATGTAAACTCAAATCACACTACATCAAATTTAATTATTATAAAAGTTCTAAGAGCAAAACAACATGGATGCAGTTTCAGACATTTTTTCATATTTATTTGGAAGTGATTATCCAAAATTAGAAAAAAATACGGCAATTTTTAATGACAAATACAAGAAATAAAAATATTCCATACATAATATTAATATAAGCCAATTTCCCTGTACCTTTCTTAAGAAAATAATTCTTGTGCACTCTGCCCTAATCACCTGCCCATTCAATCAATCCATACATAATACATATGGCAAATACACAGCTTTCAGAAAGGTTCAGCACACAAAAGTTCATTTAAAAAAAGGATGCTTTGATCAATCAAAATTTCAAAAGAAAGTAAATAATTTGATTGTAAATAAAATATATTTAGGCATATGTGTATGTAAGACATAACAAAATATGACAGCTGCTTTAAAACATAATTGACAACCTCAAAATTAACGATTCTAGATTCGGTGCTCTCCCCTAAATTCATCTATTCTCCCAAATGCAAGATCATTCCAAATTACATAACACTGCTTGAAAAAGGTAACTAAAACTAATATTGACCAATAATAGCTTAGAATACTTTCTGCACTTGCGTAGTATATGCGAGGAATTACGTCCCTTTTTTCCTTCTCAACTTCTGCTATGCGCCAACAACTCTGCACCACTTATGCTTTCCTACCTGAAATGGTGTAGTATCTCTCTATCTGTGTATATAAAAAGTTATTGTATTGAAATATGGTTGAAAAGTAAATTTTTCTACCAAAGAGATGATTTAAGATGTGTAAAAATAAAGATGGTGAAGCTTCAGTTCAGTTTTGTTATCTGCTTCATCAAGCCCTTCACCCTCAGCCATTACTGTTTTCTCAGCCATGCCTACAGCCAGAGTTTAAAAGTACCGGATTCAAAAGTACCGGATTTTCAGAGATTCCTGTACCTTCAATTAACGGATTAAGTACAACAGAGGACAATAACTGCCATTTCTCAAATTAGGCAGTTCCAGCTCTTTGAAAGTAGTTTGCGAGTATGCAGAGCACATATTGGTTTGGGGTGGGAGAGGAACTACATATCATTAATCTCTTCACTCTCAAAATATTATTTCATATATTTTTCTCTATGTAAATGCTGCAAGATCAACAACTGCACAGTCTTACAATGGAGTCAATAATTTGTTCTGTATGGCTTTAAGTTGTTGCAGTAGCTGTAATTAAGATGTGCAGGTTGATGCAATAGCTCAAGGAAAAATTCAGTCCACATCATTAAAGTGGGACTGAACACACGGTGTTAAATAACACTACTGGTTTTGTTCTGTATTTCTTCTTCTACCCAAGTCCTCACATGCTTGGACTACAGCACAAATCTGGACTCATTTATAAGCAACATGTCAGACTATTCAGCTCTTTCTCAATTCATGTGCTGATGACTCCATTTCAGTTCTTTTCTTCTAGCTTTGATATTTAAGATGGGAAAATTGTTTTGCTTATCTAAGACAGATAATACAAATGATTTCCCCCTTAAGGGCAGAATTTTGCTACTAAGCCTAATTTACATTAAACCATATAAAAGCATCCTTTTAAAATGTTAAATAATTATTTTTTATTTATTTTCTTTTTAAGACATTAACTGTTATATCTATTAATGTAACAACAAATATTTCTTTACTGCCACTGCTAAAGTTGAGGCATTTTAGATAAAAATATTGCTTTACAAAACTGAAATACATTTAATGTATTTTGCTGCATAATACATAAAAAAACTAACTCATAATGTAATGTCAGAATTTAATCCTAGAATGTGATGATGAAAGAGATCCTTTATTACACACAACCAGCCTTCATAAGTACATATCTCATTTATTGATTCTGTTTCTGAACAGTGAAGCCAATTTCATCATTTAATTCAGAGCTAAGTCTAGAATTTTTGTTATGTATTGCCCTTTCATTTCTAGCTAATTATTTCAGCAAAAGTAAAAAATCATCTTATAACAGACAACATAGTGGATTTTAATACTCGCCTTCATTCTAATGTTTCTGTTTTGGTATCTAACATTTTATACAAAAATAAATAAATAAATAAATACATAAAATAATAAAATGATCTAAGAAAAATTATACCTGCCCCTGAACAGAAGTCTGCACTAGAATATTTTGAAGGAGAGATGTGAGCTTTTGTCTATATATCAGAAACATATGCTCTTAAGGAAAAGGGGGCAAAATTATAATAAAATAAACAATCAAAAATAAATAGTTTGCATTCCAAAAATCAAAATATATAATGTCAGATAGTGAAGAAGAGGAATGTCAAATACTACCAACACACATTTCTCAGACAACTGTGTTTATGTGACACTAATCTTCTATGGTGACTTCTTTGTGATGTACTGTGATAACACATCTTCTAAATGAGTTCCTGTCTGCCATACATACCTAGTAGCCATCCCCGAAAGGTTAAAGGAACACAAATTTATGACCGCCACACATACAATGCTTTCCACAAATCCAATGCAGTCTTTGCAAATCTAGAGTTTTCAACTGTTATAGCAACCACTGCTCTTACAGTTAATGCAATTGCTTGTCAACTCTGCTTACATAATAAAGCCATGCACTTGTCATTATAAAATTCAATAATCTTTCAACAACCAGGTCTCTGCACAGCTGATTCATAGATATGAAATCATTTAAAAAAGCATGAAATTACAGAAAAACAAAATAATGGCACCTTTAATATATTGTCCTGCTGCAAGTTAGGTAACAGCACACCAGCATTGAGGTTCATCCAGCTACCTTTTTTAAACCATAACTGATCATATCTGATCCAATAAATAACCAGAATTATCTTTCAAAACTCTTCTTTCAACAGCTAAACTTATACTCAAATTCTTCAAAGAGATATCAGGAATGTCCAAATAACTAATGAATAATCCTGTATATTTGAGGAAAGTAAACCTAAGTGGTCACATCATATGATATTAGCACATTTTTTTATTCATTATTATTTCTCTTCTGTAGATGCAATGAATTTCTCATACAGAAATTCAAGCACATATTTTCCTTTATCAATGTACTTGAAATTGTTAGAGAAAATTAAAATCTCAATATAAATATTGGAAAGCATAGCAAAAGAAAGGACTAGAATAAATAACATAAAAGCTAACAGAAACATTTGAATATTTTATATAAAAGATCATTCTAATAGTTAGCAATCTGTGTTATGATTTAAATACACATTTATTTTATAACTGAATCCAACCAAACTCTATCTTTAAATTTTACTGCCAAATGGTTGAATTAATATTCCACTAAAATACAAAAAGATAATACTGCTTAATTATAAAACATAATATTTGTCATATTTGAAAATATTCAAAACAAATCCTTTCCTCATATGAGTCACTAAATTAGAAACCTTTTAAACTATTCTTAAAAGTAATATAATAATCACAAATTCTAATAAATATTCATTAATGAAACTTTTTAACAGATTATAGAATATCCTTAAAACAAAATATTCATTTACTTTCCCAAGAACAGGAAACAGATATTGTCTGAACTTGGTACTAGTAATACTTTGCAAAATTCTGTTTTCGACTGCATCAAGCACTTGCATTTAGAAAATTTGCTCCTGCTACACAGTTTTACTAAGAAAACCATTGTCAACAGGCAAAGAGAAAATAAATTAGAAATTATATTTTTATCATATAACTTACATTAAAAAAAAAAATCTGTGATTTACATGTATAACAGTTTGCATTTAGATAGGAGTATTTTTGTCTAAGAAGCTATTTGTCCATATCTGCACAAGGCTTACTTAGAACATGATGACATTTTTCAAACTGACTATGAACCACTATACCAAAAAACATCAGATGTGCATGGTGCCTACCATTTGACTATATGATACTACATACTACACGACCTATGATTTGTTGCTTCTAGTGCTCATCTGAACTTATTATAATACATTAATTATAGAGAATTAAGTGGTAAAAATCAATATTTTTAACTTCACAATTTCAGTAACCATTATTTAAATATGCAGGCTACAAAAGGTGAAAATATCATAGCACAAAAGCAAAATAAAATAACTACAAAAGGATAAAATTAATTATATGCAAGATGAAAATAAAGGAAGAAAGCCAAACTGATACATAAAGAAAATAATGTGCATAAAACTGAAGGCATAAAGCAGTTAATAATGATGCTAAAACAAAACATTAACTGTATAGTATTTAAAATGCACTGAAAATGCTACAACTGCAGTGAAAACATTAACAAACTTACAGCCCACAGGAATACTACTGGTATTTTAACCCACAGGTAAACTACCAATTAGAGAACCTGAATTAAAGGTAATTTCATATTTGGAATTGAAACATCTGACATTGTGACATTAACCACTTCAGATTTTCTTAAGATGGTGGTCTACTGATCATATACACTGGTGGGCAACTGCTAAGGACAGATGACAGTAGCTATAGCAATAACAAAATGGAAGGCAGGAAAATGTGGAAATTAGCTTAATACAGTAAGACGTGTTGTGCATATGCAAATTTTCGATTGCCGAAATTGTTCATCACATGATGTGTTGATAACAGACATAAAGGATTTGATGTGACCTTTGTCGTTCAAAAGTAAAATTTATATGAAGAACATTAATTCTTTCATTAACATGAAAGAATCAATTGACAAACTTATAGTCTTCCTTGGTAGTCTTCCCAACATCACTTAGATGATTTTACCCATGGCAGTATTATTGACAAGATTGAAGAAGGGCAAAAATTACAGATGTTGCTAGGGAATTCAATGTCAGCCACAGTGTTGTTTCAAGACTTTAGAAATCATTTCAGAAGAATGGAATGTGTAGCAAATGTCATGTGGGA